AAATGTTGGCAGTATGTTTGGGCCTTCGCACCTTTCTGCCAGACCTAAGGGGACACCACGTGCTAGTCCGCTCAGACAGCATGACAGTGGTGTCATATATAAATCGCCAGGGCGGTCTCTCCTCGAAGCGCCTCTTCATTCTGGTAGAGCGCCTCCTGGAATGGGCTCAGCTAAACTTGTGTTCGCTAAGATTAGCGCATGTGCCGGGCAGGTTGAACCAGCTCCGCTGCCAAGCCATTGGTTCGTTTTTAATGCACTGCACGAACCAATGGCCGTGCAGTTTCACTGCGTGATTGAAAAAAGGATTCAGTTCAGGAGAAAAAAGGCTTTTTCCCATAGCGTCTTAAGACAAGAGACAGTACGAGTGTAGTATCGAAAGGGAACAACATTACATATATTTAAGCTGTACTTTAGAGATTGCCAACACATGTCAGTTTGAAAACCCTCAATCCTTCCAAGTTTAGAACAATCGTTCTCTCAAAAATGAAAATTATGTCAATTATATGGACTACATTTATGGTGCTTTTGGTGTTTTTAGTCCTTTCCGGAGCTTGATAGATGTGGGCACTATGAACTGTTGTGATATGTTAAAAGCAGCATTTTAATCCATTCAGTTCTTCTTTATATATTCTACAAAAGAAACAACAGCAGTGTGTAATGATATAATTTACATTTTATTTTTGGGTGGTGAACTATTACTTACAAAAAAAGGGCTGAAAGATCCATTCCATGGATATAACTTGTTCAATTCTGCTCACATCGAGCCTAATTCTTTATAGTTAAGACAAAATGTACAGTTTTGCTTATCATATTTTTCAACTTCCATATGAATATATTTAGATATATTCTCTCAGAGGTGGACAGACCTAATCTGTCTTGATAAATGGACCCAGTTAATTAAAATAAAAAGATACGCTGAAATCTCAGGATCAGACTTTTTCCACTTTAAATAGGAAATGAGAGCTAAGGAAATTAATCTTCTGCAGAAGTGATAATGTTGGCCAGTGCAGCTGTCACATAATTAAGGAAGTGAATTTGTCTGTATTCTGCTTGTATAATCTGATTAAGTGTTTGCAATCTTGTTGTTGACATTAAAATCTATGTGTTTTTGTTTTTGGCAGAGCATTATGATAGTTCCTCAGGATCACTTCAGCTTATTTCTATAAAACCAATGGCAGCTCCACCCACCTACTCGCACCCTGCGTCCTCCGACCGCAGCCAGGACTCTGCTGTATTCAATGGAGAGGTAAGACTTGATTTTATTAGAGACAGCTTTGGATGGCAACCACTGACCAAAGTCATTTTACTGACCTTCTGATGCATTTTACTTGCAAAAAAGGGCACTGATGGATGCAAAATTGCCACTTAAATGCTGATTGGCTGACTGTTATGCAACTTCTGCAAGTCAGGGTGCAAAAGTTTTATACAGTTTTGTACAGCAAGGATACAAAGTTATGTTTACAGGCTACCAGGCTGCTTGGATGCTTTTGCAAGGAGAATGAATGAATGAATGAATGAATGAATGAATTAATTAATTAATTAATTAACACATACATTCTTTGCAAGACTGTAACTGTACTAAAACTTCATTTAATATCATGTATAGTCTTTATAGTCAACAAAAGTTTATTCTTAGCATATCTCAATTGATACTCTTGCTTAATTTAGTCAAATTTAGGCTTCAAAGAGACCTGGCACAGATTTATTTTAGAATATCACTTTACCTATGGGAAATCATGTAGAGCCACATTTTTAATGCATGCAATTTTTTTTCTTTTGTTTTTCTTTTTAGTGGATGAATGGCCAATCCCCCTTCTCTCTTTCTCTCTATGTGTATACAGGTGAATTTGGCTCTGAAACAGAAGTCAGACATTGAGCACTACAGGAATAAGCTTAGACTGAAGGCCAAGAAGAAGGGATACTATGACTTCCCTTCTGCTGAGGGAAAAGGTAGCACTAAAAACCTGAGTCAGCGACACAAGTACAGCCACGACAAGCTTCCACACCCGCACAGCAGAGCTCAGGAACCGGAAGACGACAGGGGCTCCACATATGTGAAGTATTGCAGGAGGTAAGGGATTCTGCTGGAATGTAAATGAGTGTTTAACAAGATATGGTTGTTTCTGTGTACTGTATGCATACTTTAATGCTTGTGACACTGTCTCTCAGATTTATTGATCTGCACAAGTTATACATGATAAGTTGTAGAAGGTTGTAGTGTCATTTGTTAGTTTACAATGGTCCCAAAATTGTTTAGATGCTTAAGACACACTTAAAAATTACTGAATATCTTTACAATTAGATAAAATATCAGATCATTAATTACTTAATAATACAATTCAAAAAAGGATATTTGAAATCCAAACATCCAAATCACATTGACACCAGTTAGTTGGTTATCTTAAGTAAGCAAAGCAACAAAGACAAAGAGTGCATCTCAATCAGCTCCCTAGTTCCCGGGCTCGTGAATCAGTATATTGTGTACATCTATTTGGGCACTTATAACAACCATGCATGGCTCACTATACATTGGGACAGTGATTACTCAATTTACGGTGACATGATTATGTACAACATCAACGTGCAATGTTGAACCACTGATTTTAATCAGCAACAGGACCCATATCTTTTTTATATAAATGTCAACTAGATGTGTTCACTACCTGTCTAGTGATGTGTGCTTAAGCCGAAATATAATACTAATTTAAAAAAGTTTGTCTTTTTGAATATGCTATCGCGTGTTACTATATTTATTTAGTTGGCTTGTGTGTGTTGTGTGTTTCATGCTTCAGAAATGTGATGTAATTTCCAGTAACTGATGCACTCAATGCACTCTTGCGGTGCATTGTGAGATTTTTCAGGGAGCGAATCTTTCAATGCATCAGAATAATTTTGTGATTGAGACAGCTCTTAAAATGTCCCACTTGATCCTAATCAGAGCCTAGACTACTGAACTAGGGAGCTGATTGAGACACACTCATACTCTTTATCAGAGTTGCCAGGTCTAAGTCACAAGACCAGTCCAATTGGTAGTAAACCTAGCCCAGTCACAGCCAAAACTAATCTAATCGCATTCCGGGGGAAAATGGCTATTAAAATAATTCCTTTCAGGGGGTTCCACTTTGATCTAAATCACGTTCCAGGAGGGCAGGGTTTTTGCTTCAACCCCAAGCAGCAATATAAAAGTAGACCAATTTCGTGGGAAAACCGCTGACTTGGCAACACTCCTATTCTCAGCGTAAGCAAAAGCTCCACTCTTCATCAAAATGCTAACCCACTTTAATTGAAACAGTTCTAATTGCACAAGCGTAATTGAACATTAAAAAATATAGTCTCCCCCTTTTCTCATCTTGCTCAAAAACACACCAAAAATAATACAAATGTGTAATGTTTACTACTATACACATGCTATTATTACAAGCTGGTCTTAAAGTTTAAATTATCATTTGAAATGGCTTTAACAATTTATATCGATTGAACTAAGTTGCACTGTGTGGATGGCTTTCTCTAACACAGGAACATTTGGCAAATGACAAATATAATCAATATGCAGTGGGCTTTGTCGACTAGCTGTTAGCAATCATGAGCCTTGATGATGAAAACACTGTGTGCTCAGAAATGTCTGTTGTTCTTTTCCCAGGAGTTCAGAAGTAGACACAAAAGCCGCTGTCACAGACATGACTGGATCAGATATCCAGTACAGCTTCTGCCCAGTCTCATTAGCTGACCAAAATGCCCTCGCTTTGGAGTTTTGTCTCAGTTTAAATATTTAATTTCCTTTTTGCATCCATTGGCACTCTGTCAAATCTTGTGTAATTTGCTGCCCATTGGACAAAGAAGGAGAGCGTATCTTTCTGCTGCTTTCAGTTTTCCATTTGATTAAGCTGCAGTTGCCGGAGTCCTCTGGAACGGCTTAAAATCTAACCCCAATGATTTGTTCTGATGCCCTTGGAAAAGAAATTGATATGATAGGCATTCGGGAAAGTTGTTTAACTTAAAGCCTATGAGAAAAACAAAGTGTCCCACAGTGGTATCTTAATTATTTGTGTAATATTGATTGATATTTACACCATGATGGCCTAAACAGCTACAATGGTTTAAACATAATGTTTTTAACCAGTACAATAATTAATATGTGACAGATATATTACAAAAAAACTAGTCTATTGTTTATTAATGTAGTCTTTTAACAGTGTTGTAGTTTGGTTAACTGCGAGGTGCCAGAAGCTTGTGCCAAAGAAAAATGTCTATTAATTTCTTTTAAAAAGTCAACCCCTCTGAAAGTCATTCGGACACTGATTATTTAAATCTATCTTACTGAGCATTTTGAAAGGTCCTTTAAAGGAGTCATATGATGTTGCTAAAAATAACATTATGTTGTGTATTTGGTGTAATGCAATGTGTTTATGCGGTTTAAGGTTAAAAAAACACATTATTTTCCACATAATGTACATTATTGTTGCTCCTCTATGCCCCGCCTTTCTGAAACGCGTCGATTTTTACAAAGCTCATCATTCTGAAAAGCGAGGTGTACGCTGATTGGCCAGCTATCCAGTGCGTTGTGATTGGCTGAATACCTCAAGCGTGTGGCGGAAATGTTATGTCCCTTACCATACTGTGATGCCGTGTCCCGGCACGACGAGACAAAACAAAACCAATAAAACCCATTACAAACGAGGCATTTGTTGCATCCACATGGGGACATAATTACTGATTATAATGA